AAACAAGTCTTTCTTTCTTTGTCCCCAAATTATTATTTTTGACGCAGCTCTCTCTCTCTCTCTCTCTCTCTCTCTCTCTCTCTCTCTCTCTCTCTCTCTCTCTCTCTCTCTCTCTCTCTCCTTTATGCCCACCCTTTCCTATAATCTGTTCTTTTCTCAGGTATCAGCAGGCTTCTGCTCAACCTGTTGGAATCCTTGCATACTGAAATTCCACATGAATGACTGACAAGTAGATCAGTCCTTCACCGCGTTCAGTTTGGCAGTCAGCTCAAGTTTCTCCCCAGCATCTAGACACAGCTGTCTCTTCTTCAGTGAGCTCACCCAGTCTTAGGCACAGAGGTCACTGCTTAGCATCCTTATGGCTCTCTGAGCAAACAAAAACCTGGAAATCAGATTATTTCTTTCTTTAAAGTTGTTCTTCTGTTCAGGGACACTGGTGCATCAAGCCCTTCTAGGATCACTGATCATGTCTTTACTCCATAGACACCCAAGACTTTCTCGAGAAGAAGCAAGTGACTCACTATACACAGTCAGAGCCAGGGATCCAGAAAAGAGAGTGAATCTGTTTTGGTAGTCAGAGTGGAAGAAAACTGGAGTGTTTTAGGCTTCCACATTTCTAAAAGTATCTTTTTCATCCATTTGGTCAATTATAACCAAAATAAATGTATTTTTAAAATTAGAAAAGCAGAATAGCATGTATACTAAGGATGCTTCCTTACTCAGTATTCAAATTTACTAGAAACCTACAGCTGCTCCAAAAGTAAATTGCATCTGCTTTGAAAAGGAAAAATGAAGAATCATATTTTTACATGATTTAAAACTAAGGACACCCTATAATTAATTAATCTGTATAACACAGATCTATATCTGTCCTTTGGGACATACACAAAACTGCTTTCAGCAAAGAATTTCTTCGGGTACCTACTGAAAAGACAAATCTCCAATCAATTGCTAATATTAAGCCAACAAACACTTTCTAAAAAGAAATATTAACAATATGCAACTAACCACTTTTCCCTAAATGTGTGTGCTATAAATATTCATATTTAGACAGATGTTATGTGGTAGAAAATGATTCAGCCTCCATCCCTCCAAGTATAGAATGGAAGTCCCATAAACCGCTGTTGTGGAATTTAGTCTCTGTGTCTCCACAAAGCTTTTATCCTGCAAAGGTCTCCAAAGTCCTGAGGCCCCCGCATCCATTTCCATAGGTTCTGACTCTGGTAGAGCTACAGTCCCTGTTAACCTCGTGTCTCTCCACACTCATTAACATTTTTATAGCTTACCCTGTTTTTCATGATATTGCTCTATTGGGAGCTATTTTGTGAAATGAAGCAATTATTTCCCCCATGCCCCATGCTAACTCTTATTTCTTGAAAAGAACAATTAATATTAGTTAGACTGGAGACAAGAGAAGGAAATTGTGATTATCAGTTTAAAAAAAAAAAAAACAACAAACCCCTTGATGCGGTACCAAATTAAAATGTATTCCAATAAAGGGGGAAAAGCCCAAAACAAGTTTTATGGTTATAAAAAAGAATGGGTACAAATGGCCAGGCAACTATAATCCTTACAAATGCTGACTATGACAGGTAGGAAAAGTACAGTTTTAAAATTAACATTTCCCTAATAAAAAATCAGAAAAATGGGTCATTACATATAACAACTACCCTCTAAAAGAAAGAATGACCCCAATGCAGGTTTTCTTTGTTGTTTTTGTTTTCCTTTGTTTTTCATTATACTAGATAGACCAAACACAGAGAAGTGAGGAATCATTGTGAAGAAAGTATTTTGGTATCTTTTAAATGTCCGTAATGTCTAATTCATTTCAAACACAGAAACCCTTAAAGTCTTCTAGAATGCTAAACAGAGTAAGAGTTAGCTGTGGAGTTCTGTGGTTGAGTTGGGTTTTCTGTAAATCTTGACCCTGTGTATCCAAAGCTTTAACAGCTGCTCACCCTCCATTCCACTGTCCCTGGAATGATGTCACTCTGGTCCCTCAAAGGCACAGCATTGCCTTGTTTGCCAGTGACTCCCAAATGGTACTCACAAAGCCTAGTATATCTTCTGAATTCCAAATCTACCCATAAGTGGTCACTCAGCATCCTTAGTGGATGGCTCAAGGAAAACAATTCATCTGGGGTTAGGGAGATGGTTCAGCAGTTAAGAGTACTTGCTGATCTTCCAGGGGATATAAGTCCAGATCCCAGAACCCATGTTTGTGAGGTCACAGTCACTTGTAACTGCAACTTTAGAGGTTCTGGGATGTTCTTCCAACCTCCATCATCACCGATGTGCACAGACATACAGAGAGACAGAGACAAAGACATACACATAAATTAAGAAATTCTTAAACATTCCCTTACTTATAAGTTTTATGTATATGGGTATTTTGTCTGCATGTATGTGCACCAGAAGAGATAGATGGTTGTGAGCCAGCATGACATTACTAGGAACTGAACTCAGGACCATTTTTATAAAAAGGTCAGGGTAAAGGATATAGTCAAGAAAATAAAATTTTAGGAGCTGGAGAGAGAGCTCAGAGGTTAAGAACACTTGCTGCTCTCTCCCAGAACCCAAGTTCTGTTGCCAGCACCCACACGGCAGCTAACAACGATCTGTTACACCAGTTCCAGGCCACCCAGCACTGTCCTCTTATCACCGGGGCACCAAGCATGCTTGCTGTCCCCACACTCACACACAGACAAACACTCACACATAAAAATAAAAATAAACATTTTTAAAGAAAATGTAATTCTAGAAACAACGTAAATTTATTGTCTTTTGGAAAATATATGGGTGAGAGTTTGCATTAGTCTTCAGCTGTTACTGCAAACAATTCAGCAATTTAGGGTTCACTAAGCTAAAGTAGTGGTATTTGGAGCTGTTTTCCCTCTGGAGCCTCTAGGAGAGACTGTATGTCCATCCCCTTGCCTTTCCCACATTCCTTCCTTTGTGTACTTCTTCCTGCAAGTGCAAGGTAACAGCAGACAGCATCCTTCCCACACTTAGCTTTCTTCTCCTTTTTCTGTCTCATGTTCACAATTTAATGATGACAGCAAAATTATCCACTTGCTAAATCTGGGTCAATTTAGGTAACCTATGATAATCATCCCATCTCAAGGTTTGTGCCTTACACAAATACCTCATCCTTTATGGAAATCTCTTATGTCATAAGATACAATGCACAAAATTGTCATTGGAGAAGAGGTGTTACTGTGCTAAAACAAGGTACATTTACACAGTCAAGGACCATTAGGCTGCAACTTAATTTAATCAGGTTAGTTTACATCTTGATGAAATCCAACACATGGTAGATTAGTTTAAGATAAAATTGATTGCTACTCAAATTCCAGTGATAATATCACTACTGTTCTAATTATCCAAATAAACTCCTCAGTGAACTAATGCTGTGAAATGACAATAATAATAATTAGAAATAACAAAGTGTCTAAATTGATCTAATCTCTCCATTGGTAAGAAATTGTAAAAGGAGAAAGAGAAATAAATATATTCTACTCTGTCCCCTTCTGATCTGAACTCAGAACCTATTCTAACTACTTTTGGAGAGTCACAATGATGTCATGTGTGTCTGCTTATGGGGGGGAGTCAATAAAAACTTGAGTCGCTGTCAGAGAGCTCAGTGGTTTGACCAGTGATTTCTATCAGCTTCACAAATCCTCCATATCAATTAACTATGTGGCTTAGCCAATACAGAAAGTAAAATAATAATAGCAACAATAACAAATGATGGTGTATAAGTGTTTCTGAAAGATTCATTCAGGTGTCATGTTCACCCACGAGATCTTTATTGGATATTGCTACATACGTCTTCAAAAATCATATTACCGTATTTGTAGATGTGGTTTCATTTTTTGCAAGTACTGTAATTACGTCCATAGTTAATTTTTCTCTGAAAAATAAAGACATCCTGTGTTTTTCTCAGTGGTGATTTTGTGCAGCCTTAACTCGTAGCCTTCTTTTTTACTAAAACTGAACATGATAGCTAACTGTATCTAGTACCTTTGCCTGGACTGCAAAAATCACAGATCTGAAACAAGCAGTTACAAAACAGATTTTTGCGAACTTCCATCTCCAACAATGCATTTCTTTCATTGAGCTTAAGAAATTTTGGCACAGGAATTTATTACTGCTGCTCATCACGGTTGCACATTAGTCTTGACTAAATGGTCAATCAGTCTAAAAGGATACTGCACACTACTAAATTAGCTTGAATCAGATTTCTGGAGACAAGCCAATCAGGCCAGATGGTTTTTAGTCTGCAGGATGTCACTTCCCAGACACCAGCATGAATGAGATACTAACAGAATGCTACTTCTGCAGTAGAACCACAAAATTTCTCCTTTACAGCCATGTGACACTGATTGGTTGTTAGTAACCAGAATCCTAAGGAATCGCTGATGTTACTTGTTATCAGATGGTGAGACACTGTTTCTCCTACTGCTTTATGCTATTTTATTTTCATTAAAAATAACGTAACTTTCATATAAATTATCCGGATCATGATTCCCTCTCCTCCATCTACTCCCAGATCCTCCCCACCTCTCACCTGTCTAACTCCATGACTTTTTCTCTCTCTCAAAAAATAAACAGGCAAATAAAAAGAAAAGCAGAGACAAAAAGAAAACAAAGTAGAAGCATGAGAAATGCATATACATACAGACACATACACCCCACAAGAAGACAAAATCTAAAACCAAAATATATAAGCAAAGACCAGTAAATTTTTTAAAAAGCAATATGAGACAAAAAATAAATTCTCAAAAAAATACCTTTGAGTACAGTTTGATTGCTCATCTGCTGAACATGGGGCCTGCCCTTAGGTGTAATTTGTGTACCCGGTAAGACTCTCTTGAAGAAACTAATTTTTTCCTTTTTAAGTGGTTGTTGATTGGAGATAGCTTCTTGGTTGGGGATGGGAGCTTGTGTCCACTTCCCCATCTCAGAGCTGAGTCCCTGTCTGGTTTGGATCTCTTCAGGACCCGGCCTGGTGCCACAGTCTCTCTGAGTTCGTATGTGCTGCAGTCCTGTTGTGTCTTGAAGACCCTGTTTCCTCGGTAAGATCCATTCCCTCTGGTTCTTACAATCTTTCTGCCTCTTCTTCTCCAGATTCCCTTTGATAAAGACTTCCAATTTAGGACTGAGCGCTCCTGAGCCTCTCACTCTGCACACTGTCTGCTTGTGGGTCTCTACATTAGTTCCTATCTCCTACAGGAGAAAACTACTCTGATGATGGCTGATGAGATACTGATCTATGGACATAGAGCAGTGACCTCAACTTTCCTAATACTGAAACCCTTTAACACAGTTCCTCATGTTGTGGTGACCCCAACCATAAAATTATCCTGTCGCTACTTTACAACTGCAATTTTGCTACTGTTATGAATCATATAGGCAGTTTATCTAATATGAGACCCTGAAAGGGTTCAAAACCCACAGCTTGAAAAGTGCTGGAATAGCGGAAAAGTCATATTATTGCTGCTTTCTTCTAGCAAAATAATAACAACTGTTATTCCCCTAAGCCAATGGCCTGTATAGTCTCAGATTCTTGGCCACTGAGTAATGTTAGGCATGGGTTCCATCTCAGGGAGGAGGCTTTAAATCCAATCAGAGAGTGGCTTATTATTGCCACAATGTTTGTGCCACTATTTCCCTAGTATACCATTGCAGGCAGGTTCCCATTGTCAAGGGATTGCATCAGTGACAGCATTTACCTTTCTCCTCTGGTAGTGAGCAGAGTACCTTCCAATACCAAGAACACTAGTCAACAGGTCACCTGCTGCTTTTATATTACTCCTAGAGGAAAAGTTTCTATCGAAAACATCAATATTCTAGACACAATGTGAAGTCCAGGGAAGGGTGGCCTTCTGAAGAGTTGGAAAGTAAATTGCTTACAATGCTGTCTGTGAGTCCCACACTACTGATATCACTTGGAGCTCTTTAGACTGAGATCTTTGTAGCAACCCAAATCTACTAAATCAAAATCTGTATTATCACAAAATTCCCAGGAAGTCCACTTTAATTCAATATAGAGACATGATATATCTGAGATGACAAATAGGCAATTACTCTGATTTGATTAGCGTACATTGTTTATCTACACACATATTGAAATGTCTTGTTGAATTCCATAAATATATACAATTAATTATGTGCAAATTGAAAACTGATGGCCTGTATTGGAATATCTGTACTCTATGCTTGTCTACCAGAGAAAACAAACTTTGTCCCAAAAACCATACCTTTTTTGAAAGTCCTGTTTTTTAACAATTTTGTGCACAATTAATTTTGTAAGCCCCTTACATGCTATTCTGCCTTTTCTACTTATTTTATATGTACATGTTAATTATATGTGCCCAAGATAACCTCTCAAAAATGCTATACGAATTATGTTAGGAATACATTCCATTGAGTTATCTACTTCAGACAAAGTTAAGTTTAAATTCTGCTGTAACTTGTATCTTTTTTCTTTTAAAAAAATGGTTATCATTTCATCATGTATGCAGGCATGCATTCATGAACAAGAGTGTAGGAATACTCTGTGTATACACATGCACGAATGCATGCGGTACATCACATTTGTAGCTGTCAGAGAACAACTGAGGAATTAATTGTCTTCGCCCGTTACTTTTGTGTGCATCCTGGAGATTAAACTCCAGTCACAAGGCTTGCACAGAAAGTGCTTCTACATGCTGATCCATCATCTTGCTGGCCCAGTAACTAAGCATCTTCAGCACACTTTGTATAACAGCTCTCATTTGTTTGGCAGCTCTTTGGGAGAGACTTTTGTAACTTTCAATATTGAATACTCCATCATGCATTGGCCCTACTAAGGCACTTAATATTTACCAAGTTCAATTCTTATTACCATCCAATGAAAGCCTGTTTAGAGGGAAAAACATGTAAACATCACATAAAAGAGAATTGTTGTCTTTGTGCACATGGAACAGCCTAGAACACCCAGGCATATGGCTTATGATTCAGCAAGCTAAGGAGGTGGCAGCTACAGTGTAGCAAAAGCAGAGTTTCCCTGCAGAACAGGTTGCTGTCCCCAAAGGGAGTTCTGCCTCCCCCTCAGGTCTTTACAAAGGCAAGCACCACTGAGCTGTAAATCCACACACCTCAGCCATGTCCTGAAAAATACACACAGATGCTAGGCTTGTGCCTGAGATAAACTCAATCCAAATTCATATTCCATGTCTGTTTCTCAAAAAGCTCAGGCTGGGGGTTGGGAGTAAATATTTTATTCCCTATGTTCTCATCCAGGAAACAAAATTATGAATATTTAAGCCATGTCCAATGTCAGTGCCTCATCAGAAAGCCAATAGGTTCCAAATCAAAACTCCAAAAGGACAGTAACAGAAAGAATATGAATATTTAATCTTCAATAGAAATGTGGTCCTTAAAGATGTAATTTTTCAAAACTGGCTGTTTAGGAACAATATGCAGTAGACATTTACAATAACTTTAAAATGTTCAAAGTTAGTATATAGAACCTTGTTGAGAGCTGTGTATCATAATAATTAATATAAAGGTTATTATTTAACACTAATAACATTTTGGTAACTTGAATTTATTACCATTTAAAGTAGAAATTTATAATGGGGTTTATAATTCTCTAGTTTGGCTTAAAAACAATAGCCATAAATTTTTAATATACTTTATCAGTTAATAAGTTTAAATATGTGTCTAAAATATGTAAATACACAGATGACATTTGAAGACAGGGACGACCTTTTGTGATTTAATTGAGATACAAGTAGGTCGGCTGGGTGGTGGTGGCACATGCTTTTAAATCTAGCACTAGGGAGGCAGAGGCAGTGGGATCTCTGTGGTTTCGAGACATGTCTGGGCTTTACACGTAGAAACCCTGTCTCAAAAAACCAAAAAGAAAACAGAAAAGAACGTGGGCTGAAGAATTCGTCCAGTGTCATTTATGACCTTTTTGTTTTCCTTTTCAATTCTGACATTAAACCACATGATGTTCAGATATGGCATCATTTTTGCATGTTAAGGTAAAAACCAAGATTTTTTTTCATTTGTTTTCTTCTTCTACTTTTCTTTTTTATCTTTTTTTTATTTGAATTAGAAACAAGCTTGCTTCACATATCAATCCCAGCTCCCTCTCTGTCCCCTCCTCCCCTGCCCCACCACCAATCCCCATTAGCCCCTCACCCAATCCCCAATCTGCTTCCCAGGGAGGATAAGGCCTGCCATGGGGGATTTCCAGAGTCTGCCATTTCATCCAAATCAGGACCTGGGCCCACCCCCATGTGTCCAGGCTGAGAGAGCATTCCTCCATGTGGAATGGGCACCCAAAGTCCATTTGTATGCCAGGGATAAATACTGATCTACTACCCAAAGGCCCCATGATTGTCTAGGCCTCCACATTCGGGGGTCTGGATAACTCTCATGCTGGCCTCTCAGCTGGCCTCCCCTTGTGCAGGTCAGCTGTGTCTGTGGCTTTTACCAGCCTGGTCTTGACCCCTTTGCTCATCACTCCTCCCTCTCTGACACTGGGTTCCAGGTGTTCAGTTCACTGATTAGCTGTGGGTGTCTGCCTCTGCTTCCATCAACCACTGGATGAAGGTTCATGTTTGTCTTTTTGTGACTGGGTTACCTCACTCAGGATGGTTTCTTCTAGTGCCATCCATTGCCTAAAAATTTCAAGATTCCATTGATTTTTCCGCTGAGAAGTACTTCATCTTCAATGTGTAAATATATCACATTTTCTCTGTCCATTTTTCAGTTGAGGGGCATCTAGGTTGCTTCCATGTTCTGACTATTACAAATAATGCTACTATGAACATAGAGGAACAAACGTCCTTGTTTTATGAATGTGCGTCTTTTGGGTATATGCCTAAGAGTGGAATTGCTGGGTCTTGTGGTAGACTGATGCCCCTTTTCCTGAGGAATCTCCATACTGATCTCCACAATGACTGCCCAAGTTGTCATTCCCACCAGCAGTGGAGGAGTGTACCCCTTTCTCCACATCCTCTCCAGCATAAATTGGCTTTGGGGTTTTTTGTCTTAGCCATTCTGACAGGAGTGAGATCGTATCTCAGAATTGTTTTGATTTGCATTTCCCTAATGTCTATGAATGTTGCGCACTTTCTTAAGTGTCAGCCATTTTAGACTCCTCTATTGAGAATTCTCTATGTAGTTCTGTATCCCACTTTATGATTGGATCCTTTGGTGTTTTGGAGACTTGCTTCTTGAATTCTTCGTAAATTTTGGAGATCTGTCAGATGTGGGGTTGGTGAATATCTTTTCCCATTCTGTGGGCTGTGGTTTTGTCTTGTTGACTGTGGCCTTTGTCTTACAGAAGCTTCTCAGTTTCAGGGGGTCCCAATTGTTAATTGTCCATTTCAGTGTCTCTGCTAATAGTGTTATGTTCAGGAAGCTGTCTCCTGTACCAATTCGTTTAAGGGTACTTTCTCTTCTAAAAGGTTCATTGTGGCTGGCTTTTTTTGAGGTCTTTGATCCATTTGGACTTAAGTTTTGTGTATGGCGATAGACACGGATCTATCTGCAGTCTTCTACATGCCAGCATCCAGTTATGCCAGCACCACTTTTTGAAGATGCTTTCTTTTTTCCATTGTATAACATTGTATAATTTTAGCTTCTTTGTCAAAAATCAGATGTTTATACATGTATGGGTTAATATTGGGGTGTTCAATTTGATTCCATTGGTCTACCTGTCTATTTTTGTGCCAATACCAAGCTGTTTTCAGGACTACTAACTCTATAATAGAGCTTGAAGTCAGGGATGGTGATGCCTCCGGACATTGCTTTGTTGAACAGGGTTTTTTTGCCTATCCTGGGTCCATTGTTTTTCCATATAAAATTGATTATTGTTCTTTCAAGGTCTGTGAAGAATTGTGATGGGATTTTGATGGGGATTGCATTGACTCTGTAGATTGCTTTTGGCAAGATTGCCATTTTTACTGTTGATCCTACCTATCCAAGAGCATGGGATATCACTCCATTTTCTGGTGTCTTCTTTGATTTCTTTAAAGACTCAAAGTTCTTGCTATACAGGTCTTTCACTTGTTTG